GAGACGTTCGGGTCGTGGGCCTGAGACGCTCGGCATTTTTTCGACATGTTCGATTCATGACGAGATGCGAAAGCAAGCTGAGAATTGCAAATGTATGTGTGTAAACAGACACGACAAAATATTGTATCAATTCTTATTTTCCGAAACCGTTTTGAGTTTCGTTTCCAGGTTACGTAAATGTGTGTGTGCCATGTATTCACACATACTGTGCTTGTGTGTGGGCTCTACAATTTTTTGCCGCTCGAATTGGTTTTTCGTTTTGTTTCGAGGGCTGATGTAGCGACCGGAGCTGACCTGCCGCAACATAATTGAGGAATGGGCCGAGTGGGTGGGGGTGGGAAATAAATACAATATATAAAAATAAATTATGTTATCTCTGCTCATATCTCCTAAACTAAAATTATCTTGAAAATTAGATTCGCTAAAGCTCTCGAACGTGTCGAAAAAATGCCGAACGTCTCAGGCCCACGAACCGAACGACCTCAGCTGCGCCCCTTTCGTTGTATGAACTGGCACATCTATATACTGTATGGTTACCCTGCAGTACCAGAAGTGAGCGATGACAAATGTCAACTAAGCGTCATTCAGAATTTTTTCTCTGCCGCTGCAACAGACGAGTAGAATATGACGTCGACGTCGCGATCGATGCGTCGGTCAGGCCAAACTCTTTTTTTTCTTTGTTTCTTTCTGTTACGACTCGTGCCAGAATTCGGTTTTGCCGTCGGCGTCGACAACGTTGTTAGAATTGTGCGGTGTAAAGTGAGACGCAGGTTTTGTTTATTTTGGGCAAAATTATTTCAGGTAAGTGCAGTGTTTCATTTAATTAAAAATAGTCTATTGTGCGTTGTAAAAAATGAAGAAAATGTGATATTGCGAAATTAAACGCGTTTTGGACGAAATTTTTCATTTCCAACAACGAAAACAGAAAAAAAACGAGTCTTGAGTCGAACAGGTACATATCTAAGCGGGTGTTTTGTTTTTGGCGCAAATGCACTGCTGATCTACTGAGAGCATTGTTAACATATTGAAATATATTTTAATTAACCTTATATCTTATTTTAAAGGCGATTCAGTTGAAGTGCCCGGAATGACCACGACGGCCTTACGAACATGAGCAAATCAAAAAAACTAAAAAGGTTCTGTGGAAAAAAGAACACACTGCACAAAAATGTGAATATGCATACAATTTTATAAGAAAACAATAAATAAAATAAAAAATTTAATATTTTAAAACAGAATTTACCCATGCCTTTTTCATCAAAATATCAAAATTTTTTACTTAAATACATCACTTATTAGGGCCTTACTTTTTAAGGGAAATTCATCGCTTATTAAGGCCTTACTTTTCAAGGGAAATTCATCGCTTATTAAGGCCTTACTTTTTAAGGGAAATTCATCGCTTATTAAGGCCTGACTTTCGGCTAATTCTCGCTTACTATGTCATCGATTATGCTCCTAGGACATCCCTGTGTTAAAGTAAACAGCCCATCGTATGGCAGGTCATCGCTTATGTCATCGAGCTACATGACGTTGCCATCGATGTGTGGTTGCTTACACATCGCTTACCCGTACTGCAGGGTAGTGATTGTGGAAACCCATACGAAATCCATACCATGAAAAAAATACCAGAGTTTACTTGAAACGGTAAACGGTACAAATGTTAGATGTCTGCAATTCGGTTCAGCAATGAAATTTCCTATCTGTGGTTTTATGAAGCGCTATGCCAGGGCGATTTTGTGGACGTGGAACTGGTGCTGGACAATGGGTTTTTTTTGTCGAGATAATATTGTCACGCTGAAAAAGCAACTGGAAGAGCGGGACAAGGAGATGCACCTGCTGATTGAGCAGGAGCACGAGACACTAAATACCGTGGCCACATTGTATGAGGAGAAAACACGACTGCAGCTGCGCATTGTGCAAATGGAAAAGAAATGGGGCGCAGAGAAACAATATTTGTCCAAAAGCTATTTGCAGCTACAGCAGAATATTCATCCGTTTATAGCCAAACAGGATGCGCTGCGCCTGGAGCTGGATCGGCACAAAGGCCTCTTGGTAGCTGCCCAAACGGAGGTGGATCGATCAATTAGATAATATGAAAAAATTATTAGAAAAACATTTCGCCACTTCCAATAGAGACATAAATTTATCGCATTTATCAGCTCCAACTTTGAGCTTAAAGGAAAGGCGATAAAAGAAAATGTTTCCAATATTATGGCAATGGCAGATGTTAAAGCTCACCCCCTTGATTATCTAACCGCCGTAGTGGTTTTTAATTTTGCCACCTCTTTTCGCCTGAGTCCCCAATGTAAACAAATAACAGTAAACAGTAAAAATAAATAACAACTTTAAATTTTAAACTTTAAAACCAAAATCGACCTATTCAGGGCCGGATCAATCTTCAACCGGGCCCTGGGCAACCATCAATCTGGGGCCCTCCATTTTTTCACGCCAGTTTCTTCTTTTTTCATTTGAAATAAAAACTTATAAATTAAATGTTTGTTTAATTAATTTTTATGTTTATCAGTGGCTATTATATTTTTTATCCATTATTTGGAGTTTTGTTTTTTCACCAATTTTTCTGTTAGCCCTAGGGGGGCTCTCGGCAACTGATAATCCGGCCCTGGACCTATTCCCGTCGTAAGACTTCATATTTTCTTGGTGTGTTCTGTCGCTCGACTCGACGCGGGTCGAGGCATTGACGAAGCCGAAAGCAGAGGCAAAGGCTAGCCTAAAAGAGAATGGAAGAAATACCCCGCGCGCCCGACGCAACAACAGCTTTTCAAAAAAAAAAAAAAAAATATTTTATGAACGGCTTCCACATATTCGTTTAGAATTTAAAAATTAGCAAGCTGAATGGCGACGTGACACGAAGAAAACACTGGCAACGCCAACGTGCTTTTACCGCAATGCAAATGGCCGCCATTTGAATTCGCGCAACACCCACACGGAACGCAACACGCAACAATCACGGTCACCGCTATTATATATTATATATTAAAATATGGACGTTCTTAACCTGTTCTGCTTCACCACACCAATGGCCTCAGCAACGGCGCGAGCGAGGTTGCAAACAACGAGGTTCGCATGGCCAGGTTGGCTGAACAGTATGCAGAAAACCACGTAGCCTTCTGCGTTTCTGCGGAAGAAGATCGCGCGGCCAGACCCACACCGCAGGCATTGGCGCCAGAAACGCGGAAGGTGGCAGCGGCAGTGGCGAAAGAAGACGTCGGAGGGCTGGCAATGCGCAATGCGCTAGAATCCGCCGCCTCCGACGAGCCCACGCCCACACACGCGCCAGAAACACACGCGCCAGCCTGTGCCGTCAAGGGAGTCTTTACCTTTTGCTGCCTGTTGAATTAAAAACATATATGGGTAATACGATGGGATATTATTTTTACATACTTACCAGTCGCATTATTAAAGTCTTGTATTTACCCCCTCAGCACAACGGGCAGCAATAACTAATATTTTTAAACTTTTCACCACACATTGCTGTAATGAATATGTGAACATAATATTTCTTCCATGACTGTTTGTATATACTTACAGCTTCTGTGAGCTCTGGCAGGTGCCACTCATCCAATAGTATATAGAACGGCTTATTAAAGCCGTCCAGGGCAAACAGATCCTCCAGGAAGAATCTCTCCAAGTGGGAGTTTTGCGTCTCTATCAAACTAATTGCCGCAGAAATTTCTTCCAGACAAAATTCTGTACGGCTATTTATAAAATCTCTTAGGCTCCTCATTATAGAAAATGTAAGTCGATATCGGGTAAAACGATAGGCAGATTCATGGGGGCTCGAAATTGGAGATGCCATTTTTGGGATTTATATTTTTATTTATATTTATATTATATATTATTATATATATATTATATTTATATTTTTTTTAATAAAATATCTTGAAATTAGCTCAATACTTCAGTTGTACATATTTTTTTGACAAACACGGTCCGCGCCACGGTAAAATAAAAAAAAAATTATGGATGTTATTAACCTGCTCTGCTACACCCCACCAATGGCCTCGGCAACTGCGCGAGCGAGGTTGCTCACAATCCGTGCGGTATTCACTGTTGGAATGAACGCATGGGGTTGGGAGCAAGGAGGTGCGCATGGCCAGGTTGGCGGAGCAGTATGCAGAAAATCATGTGGCCTTCTGCGTTTCTGCGGAAGGAGACCGCGTGGCAGCGGCAGTGGCGAAAGAAGACGTCGGAGGGCTAGCAATGCGCAATGCGCTAGAATCCGCCGCCTCCGACGAGCCCACGCCCACACACGCGCCAGATCCGCCCACCTCAGTGGCGAGACGGCAGCTTCTGCCCTTGGCCAGCTCCACCTTCTCGTCGCCAAGGGCAAGGCTAAGTGTCGCACCGGAGCTGCCGGAAACTACCGACCCTAGTTTCATGGACACCACGCCTCGCTGCTCCACCAAGGCTCCACCAAAAAGGGTGAAAACAAGGGAGCAGCTTGACCGAATAAACGAAAGGAAGAGGGAGAAAAGGATGGCGCTCCGGATGGGCAGTCCGTCCGCAAACCCAGGCCTTAATCATTTTGAACGGATGGCCCGCCCCCTTCCCGGACAACCGGACGGAAAGGGGGAATGCACCGCGGTATCTCCGGAGAGTTGGAGTGGAGGGCCAAAGCGGCTGAAACTCACACGGGGAAAGGGGCCCGGCTGAACGCCACCATTTGCAAAAACGCCAGCACTGACGACTACCAAAACAGAGCGGACACCACCCGGTGTGCAGGGTGACGCAAGCCCTTTGTGTGTCCGAGTGCGCAGTCTGTGGCAATGACTTGGAATAGCTCTGCAAAAGTGCCTGCAGAACAACAACCATATCCAAAATCGCTGAAGCACGGGGCCGCCAGTCCCTCTGGAGGCGCCGGGGAAGCCACACGTTCTTTGTATGAACTGGCACATCTATATACTGTATGGTTAGTGGCCAAACACACGTACACAAGCGCTTGATTTGAAAAAATGGACAAGGGAAATATTATCGCGTACTTGTTGAATTCCGCACTGCCCCAGCCCGTGGAAGTTGCCCGGGAGCAACTCCGCGGAGTGATCGCGTCGGCGGCGGTGGTGGCCACTTCCAGCAGCCAGGAGCTGATGGATGTGTCGACGGAGTTTTGTGCGGGAAGCAGAAGCGCAAGTGCGGCACGGCGGCCGCGTAGCTCGGTCCCGACGGACGGAGATGCGCGCCGCCAACCGGGCCGGTAATGAAAAGAACCGAAAATGTTTCGGGATGAAGAGTGGTATCTTCTAAATCAGTTTTGCATTAACATTGATACATATGTAGCTCCTATGTTTATATATACATCTCCTTTTAAATATGCTTAGATATATGTATATATCCAAATAACTTTGCCCCATACTATTTACAGCAGAGAGCCAAGGCCGAAATCAGAGCGGATAAAAATAATTTTAGAACTGCACCAACAGAGCCTTCAGCGCGGTATTATTAGAGCAGTTGATTGCTCAAAAATTTATTTTAAATGACGGCTCTCTTCGACTGCACTCCCCTTTTTATAAGAAATTGGCAACGCCACCATTTGCAAAAACGCGCAGCAGTGCTGTCATTTCAGCTTTTTTCAGGCTAGACTTTTATAAAGTGGCATTTTTAAATGTGGAATAGCTTGTAAAATTTTCAAATAGATTTTATGAGCTGTTAAGCATTTCTACAACAATTTTTTTTAGATTTAAATGTAAATAAGGTCTCTTCAGGATTTTATCGTTGCGTAAAAATCACTAAGAAAACGAAGGAAACGTTGTAAGTAGCTTCTTGCAGTGCTGCCAACTTTTTATCAGGAAAAAAAGCCGTTTCTAAAGCCTTGTACCAAAGACAATATAACAATAAGATGAGTGAGTAGTCACACGATTTTTTGGCACTCAAATTTTTCAGGATGGCTCCAGGCTCTCTTGAAATTTTGTTTAAAAGCCAGAGAGAGAGCGGACAGTTTTGCTGTGATATGGCTTTTGCAATAGTAATAATTGATTAAAACTATTCCAAATAAGAACCAAGTTCCAGCTTAATTAAAATCCGAAAAAATCCACACTGAACATAAAAAATCTGGAATTCCCGCTGCCCGCCGTTTTAAATTTTTTCCCGTCAATTAAGAAATTTGAAAAAAACTAGAACTGAAGGGAAAAATAAGCTGATTTCGCAACACTGGTGCCAAGCAAACGCTTTTGTCAAAATTTCTGATCTGCCCGAAATGAAAGAAGAAAGCTAGATGCATATATGTATAGACCGCGATTCAATACTATAAATATTGAATAAAGCTCGGCTGGGAAACCAAACAGCAACCTTAAGCAATTATTTAATATAATATTAAATACATCTTATTATTAAGAAATTAAATATGAATACAATTAATCACTGATCGCTGATCAAGCTGTCCTGGTGAACGCGCCCATTGTTTGTTTTGCACAAGAATTCACACGTATGAACTCACACATTTAGTCGCTTGCAGAAACATTGCTTGCATATGGCAATTCAAATGCTTCGGCGTCACGCATCTTGCTATTATATTGTCTTTGGTGATACAAAAGATGGTATTTGGTCACGATACAGAAATACAAGAAAACGCAAAGAATGCCGCCATTTTGCTTATCTACGTCACAAATTTCGATTTTCAACAGAGCGCATATATGCATCTCGCTCACACTTATTGGGTTTAAGGTGGCAAGTTAAAGGAAACTTACCAAATTATACCCGGTATTGGGGATATGTTAGTTGTATTATCAAGTAGATGTGTGTAACGCCTAGAAGAAAGCGTTTCCGATCACATAAGCTATATACATTCATATATTCTTGACCAGCATCACTCGAAGAGTCGATATAGCCATGTCCGTTTGTCCATTCGCTTTGATGTGTGCCTTCATCTCAGAGACTAAAAGAGCTAGAGGAACCAAATTTTGTATCCAGACTTCTGTGATGTGACGCTGTTACAAGTGTATTTCAAAACTTCGCTCAGCCTCAAAAAAAAAAAACGAAAATCTGCGATATCCAGAATTTTAAAGATACGAGAAAACCGCAAACGAAGAATCATAAAGAATTTTCCTGTCCACAAGATTATCAATCTGGATCAGATTGGATTATTATTATAGCCAAAATAAAGAAATTAATTTTCAGAAGCTACGCTGAAAAGTTATCTACGTCACACGCGTCACTATAGCTGTGCTCTTCTAACATAACGGTGCTGCGCTTTGCGCTATCTTGTATTTCTGTATAGTTGTATTTGGTGGTATCAAAGACTATACATAGCAAGATGTTGCATGAGGAGCAAATGTTCGCTCAATTTTCGTTTGACGCTTGATTGCACGGGCGCGCGTATTTATTTTTTCCATTCTCTTTTTGGCTAGCCTTTGCCTCTACTTTCGGCGACAGAATACAACAACAAAATTGGAGTCTGTGACGATGGGAATAGGTCCAGGGCCGGATCAGCCCTTAGGTAGTTGCCTAGGGCCCTCTATCCAAGGGCTAACAAACAAATTTGTTGAAATAAAAAAGCTCTAAATAACACTACTCGACAAAATCGAACTTTTTTTCCTCAAGGATCTAAACCGCCTTTTTGATAGATATGGGGCTTTAAAATTTTTTAAAGAATTATGGTTTTTTTTCTATGGCAGAACTTTTTTTTTAAGAATTTTTGAAGTCAGATATTTTTTTTAAGCTATTTTCAGAGGTAGCGCTTGTTTTTTTCACATAACTCTAGTATCATACGTCTCGTTGTAAAGAACTTTGCTATTTCAAAAAGATAATTAAAGCAGCTAGAAGTTGAGTTCAAACACTTTGTGATTTCAGCTTACCGTCTGGGAAATATAAAGCATTTAAATGCAAAAATGATGATTTTTGTGCGGTATTTTTAAAAATTTTTAAATTTTAATTTAAAAAACTCAGGAAAAGTCGAAAAAAAAATAGTATCCTGTGTCCTCTATTTTTTTGTGTATAGGTGCATTAATTTGGCGTCGTTTAAGGTATCGCTCATTTAAATCTATGGAGAGACTTTGGAGCTAAAATTCGTTAACCAAACCTAAAATATGGAAAAAATGAACAAAAAATACCTTTTGGAAGGTTGCGAGCTCAACTGCCCATTGGGAATAGGTCCAGGGCCGGACTAGAAGTTGCCTAGGGCCCCCGATTCCAGGGCTAACAGAAAAATTTGTTGAAATAAAACTCTAAATAATGAATAAAAAATATATTTAGCCACTGAGAAAGATACAAAAAAAACAAAAATTAAATTCTAAGTTTTTATTCCAATTGAACAGAGAAGGGAACTTGAACCCCGTTGAGGGTTGATGCGGCATTGAACAGGTCGGAAGATTGCAAAAACAACTACATTGCTTGGGCTTGAGTCAGCACATTGATGCTCGACTCGAGTTTGGTTTTAAAGTTGTTATTTGTTTGTGTTGTGTATAATATGCACAGTGAGGACTCAGCCGAAACGAGGCTGAACGCTTTGAATAAAATAAATGTACATATCTAATAGAGAATTTTTCAGAGCTTTACAGAGCACTCAAAGCACGGTGATCCCACTGTACGCTCCTCGAACATTCTCGCTGACGAACAAACGAAACCACCGTGCAGCGGGGTCCCGGTGAGATACGAGGCATAGCCGAAAAGCCCCACGCGCACCCCCTGACCCTTGGGGCGAACAGATAAACAGCGCCATGTAACAGCTTTTTGGTCGCTCATGCAGCATCTTGGTATTGTATAGTCTTTGGTACAGGGCTTTATTGACAGATCATGATTTTGCATTGATACTGAAACGTATGATAAAATGTCATTGATGTTGTCATCCGTGTAATGTTAATAGAAGTAGTTATTAGTACAGAAGTGGCATTCCGCACGATATTTCATTTTGTGTGCCTCTTTTTCTGCTTTTGCTAACTCTCACACAACTTCAGAAGAAAAGGGGTGTGTGTGTTTGTGAGTTAGAGAAAGAAGAAAAAGAGGCACAGAAAATAAAGTATCGGGCGGCGACTCAAAAAAAACCCCAAACTATTTTATGTAAATGAGAGATTATATTTAGAAATTGAAAAAATGCTACACATCTGTGCATCCAGGGCCAGGTGGCTTGGTCGTGCCACAACCAAAGGCGGTTGCGTTGAAGTACGGCTTGGTAGCGACACAGTTATAGATGACGCCTTTCCAACTGTTCTCCCTATAGATGCAATTGATGTAGCTGCAAAGGGACAATACCTGATTAGTGTTTCTTATATGTATATCCAGGGATATCGTGGATCTACCTCGTGCACACCGTATCTCCGGGTATGGCATAACGTCCAGCGGTGCTGATGCCCTGACAATAGACGGTTTCCGCTGGTGCGGTGGTCGGAGTAGTAGGCGGCTCTGTGGTTGGGGTTGGTGTGGTTTCTGTGGGAGTGTTTACTGTGGTTGGAGTCGTTCGAGTGGTCTCTGTGGGAGTGTTTACTGTGGTTGGAGTGGACTCTGTGGAATCTGTTGGAAGGGTTACTGTGGTTGGGGTGGTATCTGTAGGTGGGTTTACTGTGGTTGGAGTGGACTCTGTGGAATCTGTTGGAAGGGTTACTGTGGTTGGGGTGGTATCTGTAGGTGGGTTTACTGTGGTGGGAGTGGGATCGGGACTGGGACTGGTACTGGGTTCGGTTGGAAGGGATACTGTCGTTGGAGTAGTCTCTGTGGGAGTGGATGTGGAAGTGGAGTCTGTTGGAAGGGTTACTGTGCTTGAGTCTGTGGTAGGGTCTAGTGTTGTGATCTGCGTTGTTGCTGTGGGAGTATTCACAGTGGTTACAGAGGAGTCATCGGAAGTGGTCACTGTGGTTACCGGACTCGTGTCCACTAAGGTGGTCTGAATAGGATCTTCATTGGCGGAAATCTGCCCAGGCAGATCGCACACGTCGCCTGTGTTGCCCTTGCAATGGGATACACAGGGAGTGCCCGTGGCAGCTGAGGTCGCACTGCACACGTAGTTGTCCTTGCATGTCTGGGTGTACGCGGTGATTACCCCATTGTTGCAGGCGGCAAAGGTGTTGCGGGAGGTGCAGGTAAACTTGGTGCTTACATCCGGACACACACCGCATACGGCCACATCGCCGCAGCCTTTCAGCACCGTCGTGCTGTTGGCCATGCAGGTGGCATAGTAATCCGTGCAAATGGCCCTCTCGCTGGGGCAGGTGTAGTTTTGGCTCTGGTCGCGCACACCTAACAAGGCCCAACTGTTAGATAAAAGGGTTTGTGAAGGTCAAATCACTTACCATCGAAGCACAACTGGAACTGGGTCTCGCTGATGCAGGCATGAGAGTTCTTGCAACGGCCACACACGGCATCCACGGTGGCTGGGGCCAGGAGAATGGCGATCAGAGCGAGCGAAAATATCTGAAACTTGGACACCGCCATCTCTGGTTGGCAATTAATGATGGGGCACCTGCGTGTCAGGCCTTTTAAAGCCAAGCTACTTCTCCTATCTTTATGGCGGGGGTCTGTGGGATGCTCGTGCTGTAATCTTTCAATGCCGAGCAGGGGCAATAAAGTTGCTGAACCCACCATTTTGGGGCTTCCTAGTAAGCTAATCTGGCGAATATTCCGGTAGCCACCATATTGTCGTATATTTAAATGTATTTTCCAGGATTAGCCGCAGTATAACCTGCCTAAGTTATCTCGTGTTTGTGTGTGTCGAAGATCTTTTGAAGCATTGGCTTCTGTTTTCCCATATAAAATGCGGCATTTCGTGGCTGCTCTCGTTAGTCAGCTTCCAGTAGTTCAGCCATAATGCAGCAGTCCCCGTTCCTCAGAACTCTGGTGAGCTCCCTCCCAAAAATCAATTCCAAATCAAATTCGATTATTTATGGTTCTTATGGTCTTGCCGATTAGTGCCTCTTCCTGATCATCGGTCTGATGGTGGTATACAGCCAAGGTTTGTGCAATGAGTGTCAAGACAATGGAGTAGCCTGTGTGAATGAGACCCACTACCGCTTCTGTTTGGACAACGTCGAGCCTGGAGCAATTTTGCCATGCGGCGATGGCGAGGTCTGCACTAGTCTGCTAAAAATTTGTGTTCCCAAGGGTGCCTATGATTCAACCTGCGCAGCCGATGAAGCCGCATCCCCGAGCGAGTGCCCCAGCTGCACTGGCAGCGCCCTGTTCGTCTGCACCAGTCGAACCACCTTCCAGATGTGCGACGGCACCACATTGACCGATCGTGTCATCAAGTGCAACGACGGCAAGTTCTGTTCGATGCAGTCCGGTAAATACTGTGTGGGCGAGTGCGAGCTGCCAGGCGACATTGAGTGCGATCGAGATGCACCCTAAGCAGGACTAGATCTAAGTTTATTTCAAAAGTATCTGTTAAATAAATCAACGAATCAATTTTGATATAAATATTAAGTTTAAATTTGGTGTTTGATTCGCTCAAAAGCACGTAAGGCTTGCTCAGGCAGTACCACATTTTGAATGGCATTCCAAGGCGGAGATGTATCTAGTTTATCTTGTCTAAGAAGATATCTTATCAGTTGTATTAGCATCAGCATTTCAGGTGATGTGACGCACGGTAATGCCTGTAATTGGTACACCAACCAACTACATATTTGTAGTCATGTTTATTCGGATTTCTTACAGAGAAAGTAAATCAAAATAAATACAAAAATAAATAAATAAACAAAGATTTTGCCATGATCATCATATATAATATATGTATTTCATCGACTAAGCCGGAAGTTTTCCTTTGAAATTATACTGCTGCATGCAGTGCAACGACTTAACCTGGGAGCCTTCGTTGAATCAGTTCGCCGCTAAAACCTGAAGGTCATTGGTTCGTTTTCGTTTTTAATTGAAATTATGCTGCAAGCAGTTGCTGCATCTTTGAACTGTTGAAATATTTTTAAAATCTTAACATAGTACAATGGATCTCGGCAGTTTTCGAAACTCTAAGTTTAATTGTGCCAGAGCATAGATCCCCTCGTTTTATGCCTACCAGATAACAGAGCGGCCAAAAATGTGATTCTGTGCAAAAACAGACCTTGAAACGCTTCGGCCATATAACACTTGTTACGACCTGTTCGGCTTATCAATTTTCTGTGGCCCACCCATCCTTCCGGTAGAAAAGCTAAGCAAATTCGGTTGCGAAGGTCAGTGTTCTGGCGATATACATACTCGTATGTACATATGTATGTATGTACCATGGAAATACTCCAAATGCAGATGAAGATACAGGTGCGTGTTTGAAATAAAAACAAATTGAATTAAGCAATCCAATTGACATTGACCCCATTGTGGGGGAGCTGTGTAATCCAATTAGTGCTATGTGAGGCAATGACGTCAAAATCGGTTTCTGATGAGGTGAGAGGGGAACTATTTATGGTCCCGATTGCTAATGTGTGTACAACATAGTGCGGGTACTCGCACGTCTATCTTCATTTGTTGTGATTGCCATCGCTGCGCTGCTGCGCTGCTGCTGCTTCTGTTATGCTGTGAAAACTCGTAAATTATTCAGCACTTTTCATTGCTCGCATTTGTTTGGTAGGGTTTTGGGTTGGGTTGGGTTGGGTTCGGTTCGGTTGGGGGATGTGGAGTTGCTCCACATTTAATGGGCGGCACAGAGGTGTGGAAAACAGATTCGCAACAGGAAACAAAACAGAGAAAGAGCCGACGAAACGTGAAAAGCGAGAGCACAGGCGAGAGATGCGACGCCTACTGCTTCCCATTCCCCAATTCACAATTCCCAATGTTGCTGCTGGTGGCTGGTGCTGCTGCTGGGTGGCGCATCTAATTGTTTCGACGGTTGCGTTTTGTTATTGTAATTAATATTTGGCTAAATTCAGCGATGGGTTTGTCACAAAAACTAAAAAGCGAAAAGCGTCAAACAAATTGCGGTCGTTACACTTTTTGCCATGCCAAGTGAATGAATAAAATAAAGTGTCGCCTCCGTGTGGGCTGCCTGCCACTACAGCGCCACAGAGCAACGCGTGCGGATCAGTGGATTATCATCATGGGCAGCCTGCGCTTGCAACTAACGGTGGCAACATGCTGTCTACTCGTCCTGGCCTCCTCAAAAGTGCCCACACATCCGCAGACCAACAGCTGGCGGGATCTTTTCTTTGGCAGCAAGTGGCTGACGCCGGGTCCACGATTCCGTGAGTCCAAGTGTATGTTTCGAACTGCGGCTCATCATCATCATCTACTCCGAAATAGTGTGCTCATCTGTGTTCGTTTCCTTTTTTTTTTTTCGTCTGCAGTTTTGCCCATATTCGCTCTGGTGCCCATTGGACCCGGCAGCTGTTCGGCCCCCTCTGGGGAGCAGGGCAACTGTATTCCCAGTAAGGATTGCATACTCAGGAACGGCATACCAGCGGGTCCCTGTGGCGGCGGCTATGGCGTCTGTTGCATATGTAAGTTTATCGGTATGAACTTATGCAAGTTTCCTCTCTAAAATTCTGTGCCAATTTTGCCAACTTTCCCCAGTTCTTCAGACCTGTGGCGGTGTGATACGCGAGAACTCCACGTACTTTGTGAACCCCAATCATCCCGATGTCTATGATGGCACTGGCAGCTGTCAGGTGACGGTGCAGAAACTCCATCCGGACATCTGTCAGCTGCGCTTGGATCTGGATATGTTTTCCATAGCTCCGCCCGAGGCCGCCAATCACTTGTGCAATCAGGATCAGCTGCTGATATCGGGCGGAAGTCCGACGCCCACCATTTGTGGCAGCTCAACGGGAGACCACAGTGAGTGAATATCTGCTAACCCACCGTAATCTCGTAGCCATCTCAATGTCATGCTTCATGCTTCACGCCTGGACAGTGTACATTGATGCGGGTCTGGGCCAGAGCAACCCAATTGTCTTATCTGTGATCACCAGCGGAAGTTTTCCGCGCCTGTGGCGCGTCCGCGTCACGCAAATCCACTGCGGCAGCATCAGTCGAGCGGATCAGGGCTGTCTGCAGTATTACACGGCCATTAGTGGGCGCGTGCGGAGCTTCAACTACAACACGGTGGGTGGCAGGCAGCTCTCCAATCAGGACTACAGCATTTGCATTCGCAACGAGCGCAACTTTTGCGGCATTCAGTACAACACCTGCCCGGATCTGGAGAACAATCGGTCGAGGGCCTTCACGCTGTCGGGCAACTCCAACAACCCGGTGGCCACCATGGTGGGTGGCGGCGGGTCCAATGGCTGTCTGAGCGATTGGCTGCTCATTGGCTGCATTCGATCGGCTGATCGCATCCCACCGCTGCCGGGCTGCGAGGATCGGGTGTGTGGGGGCACCTTCAGCGCCGAGGCCGGCATGTTGGCCAAGACAGTGCAGTGTAAGTGTAGGACTTGACTCTGATTAACCCGTTTTAATGTCTCGCCTGCAGCCAGCGTTCGTCCCTTCCGGCTGTACTTCCACACGGATGGCGTGGAGGCACCGAATGACATAGATAATCGTGGATTCTGCCTGGACTACGTTCAGCAGCCCTGTACAAATGGTTTTTAGTCGCAGTCGCAGTCGCCGTCTCTTAATATAATATATATGTATATTATAATAAATAACTTTATTTATTGATTGGATTCGTAGTTAAGGTAGTCATAAGTTTTCTCCTAGTTTAAGTTAATTTAAGTAGCCCACAAAAACTTTGTGACATTTTGGTATAATTTAAAAGTCATATCGGGGGACGTATCGAAATTGTGTAGCAATTTGAAAAATGTCTAACATTAAAATCGTTTCCATCTATTAATACAGATTACGTTTAATTAATAATACTTGGCCGAAGCAAAAACAAAATTTAAATAATAATATTAATAACAGGATAGAAACACTATGAAAAACGCATTCTTTTAAGGACATTTTCGTTATTTTGTTGTTGTTGTTGTGATGCTTGTGATGTGGTGTGTCGTATAAAAGGAGGATTTTTCTGGGGGTTTCGCTTGCTGCTCTGCTCGTCCGAGATCGCCAATTTCAGTCTGTTGCGCGCATAGCCCGATTTGTGACATCACTGGGCGAGTGTGGTCGTGGGGGCGTGTGGCGAGGGGGGATCGGTATCTCTCAATGGAAATATACATCTGTCTAGATCCTAATAGGTTTGTATCAAGGCAGCCACATGCTGTTTCTCCTCATCGGTCAGACCGTTCTTAAGCGTCCGTCGCACTGAAAAAGCATACAATAAATTATTAGAATATTATTTCAGTTGGATTATTGATTGGATTGACATAAATGTATTAAGGTTCTCATGCTGAAGTTAGGCTACACGAGACATGCATTTGAGGGGCCTGTTAAAATCATGCCGAGAAAATTTATAGCATTTCCGTAAACAAAATACAAAAATTCCAAAATGAACAAACAAAAAATAAAATATTGAAAACAGAATTTAATTCACTAACCAAAAAAGGTAAGACCTACAAAAAAACAGTTTGGCTGTTCTCTTTCGGTAACGGTAACGGTTACGGTTACGGCTACTGTTAACACTAACGGTAACGGTTACGGTTAGCGCTGAACACAGCATTTCGGTTTCTATGGCGATGGTGCTCTTTCAACTGTGAATCCTTCTCGCGTGCGGCTGCGCTTCACTTCTCCGATTGTCAATATATGTATATATATATATTTTTGATATATTTTTTGTTTGTAAAATGGTGCGTTAATGGTGAGAAAACAAAGTGAAAAACAAAAAAATTAAAACCCAATATAGGCAACAGATTTGTATGCTAAAAGCTGGCAAAACGAAAGCTTCCATTAGGTGGGGAAATTTCAGTTGGATAAATGGCCAAAAAGCTTTGGTAATACAGGGGGCAGGGGGAGTTTCGTGAATTTGGAATTTCGTGTGGGAATTTTTTGGAGGTGTACTTTGATTGATTGATTGATTGATTGATATATATTTATAATTGTCGCTGGTTGTAGACTCTTTCGTGTGTGTGGGTGTGTGTGTCCAGCTAAAGGTTATTGTACATATACCGCGCTGTGTGTGTGTGTGTGTGTGTGTCGAAAAGATAGACCAACACCTTTTGCATTAAATCTGTATTCTTCGGTGAGGTTCTGGGAATATATCGTGCATGGAAGTGATGAACTCACATGATTTGCGATCCGCATTACGCGTCCGCTTGCGCTCCCTGGGCGTGGTGCGTGTGCCCGGCGCCTTGGTGGCGGTCTTGACCAGAGATTCGAGTATCTCGTCATCGCCATCGGTGAACTGCTCCTCGCTCTGGCGGGCAATGGGTGAGCGCAGTTGCTCGGCCCGACGACGTCGCCAGGTGAGTGTGCCATCGGCCTGATCCGCGCTGGGTGTGCCCAGAAGGGTTCTGCAAAGGGGAAATTCAATTAAGTAAACTTTGGCCTATGAGGAGTCCTCTCTTCTGAACCCACTTCAACTCTGCGTCGGCCACATCCTCTTTGGTCTTGAACTTGGCCATATCGATGATCAGCTTGCCACGCGTCTTATTGCGCTCGCGATGATTGGCCTTCTTCTCGAGCTGCTGCTGCACCCGCTCCCTGGTCGTGCGATACTCCAAAGCGAACTCGGACAGGGTGCGGCAGAACTCATTCGGCCGGGACTCGGCCACACTGTGCTGGGGCATGCCCAGCCAGAGCAGGAACTTGCGATATCGGTTCATCACGCGCCGATGTACGATCTGCAGGATGATTATGCGCTCCGCACAATCGGCCAGGAAGTCCACGAGCTTCTGCTTCAGCGGTGGGGGGCAGTCGTGTTTGGCTATCACTTTGAGGCGATCCCAGGAGGCCTTGCACTCGGACTCCAGCTGGGTAAGGTTGTGGGCCAGGTCGGCAAAGTCGGCCTTGGAGGCACGCGTTATGGGACCGATTTCCGAGTACAGATCACTCGTGTCGCTGCTCGACTCCATGACCATGTGGCAGAGATGGTGCAGCAGCGAGTGCTTGTGCACGGTGTCCTTCACCTCCGGCACCTTGGCCAGATACTCGATCTGGAAGCCCTTGACGGGGGCGCCATTCAGGAAGATGCCCACGGACAGCAGCGTCGAGAGAATGCTGCGGAAGGTGCGATTCTGACGCAAGATCTCAATGCCTTGCTTGAGATCCATCAGCGGTTCGGCAATTTCCTTCTGCAAGTGAACAAAATCAATCAAATTTGGTTTTTGAGAGGATTAATGATAAACTCCACTCACCTCACTGTTGTCAAAGTCCAGGCGGAAGGCCCACAGCTTCAGTCGTGCCCCCAGCTCCGAGATGGAGGCCAGCGTCAAGAGGAACTGCTCGGCACTGCCCAGTGGCAGCTCTGGGTTAACCAGCTGCGCCTCTTGGATCTTGCCACGCTCCTCATCCGTTGGCAGCATATTCAGAAGCTTGTCAATGCCCTCACGGGTCACCACAGTGGCGTCCATCTTCAGGATGGCCGCCTTGATGGCACGCGGTGGCGGCAGCTTCGTAATTGCTATATTGATCGCATTGGAACGTTTGTGATCGAGCACAATGATCTCTTTGCTCTTGTTTAGCTCTTGTTGTTTCTGCAAGACGGTGCAAACACAGTTAATTAATTCCATAAAAGATAAATCAGATACAATATGGTGCAAAGAGTAAACGAGAGAGTGAGGGAAAGATAGAGAGTGCAGTGGAGTGCAGTGCAGTGGAGTGGAGTCTGTTCTGTTTTGATATAAGAGTCTGTTTGTGGCTATGTGGCTGTGTGTGTGGCTGTGTATATAAGTGATAGAAAACCAACACCAAAAACACAAAACAAAATGGGCAACAGATCGTGAGTTATAGACAGAGAGTGAGAGAGTGAGTAAGAGTGAGAGTGAGAGAGTGAGATGTACATATAGACAGAGAGAGAGAGAGAGAAACAAAAAGAGTTTTTGTTGTATAAAACATTTCATGGCACTCACCTCCTAAAGAGAGACATTTGTAAAACATTTGCAAACATAATTGAGAAATTATTATTTGTTTTTGTTTTGTTTTTGTTTGTATTATGATTATTTTGGAGTGTTTGGAGTTTTTAGCACACGTTTAACATTTACGTTGATTTTAATCCGCAAAACAGACATTCCGTTCCGTTCGACATTTATAAGAAATTATTGGGATAGAAGAATGCAAATATAATTCGTTAAAGAACAAAACACTTATCGTTAGGGCGGGAGGGAGAGAGAGAGTGGGAGAGTGGGGTAGAGACTATCTATAGCTATGTAATTTATTCACACTTATTCTAGGGGGTGTTTAGGTTTATTCAATTGCTTTTGTTCGAGAACCTTTGACCAATACGTTAGATAGGAATAGGGTAGGAGAGAGAGGAACACAGATCTGTAAATGGGGGAGTGGGCAGGGGAAATGTCTACGCACCTTGGTCATCAAGTCTTTGGCCCTGGACTCAAAGAGATGCTCGAGCTTCTGGGTATCCACATTGGCGTTGGGCAGCTCATCCCAAATGGTCTTACCCACCACCTGGGGTATCAAGTCTTCGCGCACTTCCTTCCAGAAGAGCTTGACCTGTGCCAACAAGCGACAATAGAGAGATAGAGAGAGAGAGAGAGAGAGAGAGATTAATCTTCCAACTGTTGTTGAGGCTCTTCCTTTCATTCCCCTACCGTCTTCTTGTTCTTCTTGATCGTGTTGTTCCCATTGACCAGATCCCCGTTTACGGATCCGTTCAGGGAGCTGTTCACACTGTTGGTGAGGCTGCCGCCATAGCCGAACATTGGGGGAGGGATCAAACTGGGTGCTGGCGGCATCATGGGGGGTGGCAGTATGCCTCCGCTGGCAAATGGCGGCGGTGGGGGTGGAATTCCCACACCCAGGCCACGTGGCGCCAGCACATCCTTCTCATCGTCGTCGTGCAGATCGGTAAAGTCCAGGTCGCAGAGGTTCAAGGGTCGCGTCATATTCCGCACCAGCTCCTCCCAGTGGAGTTCGTTCTCCGATTTCTTCGGCTCGGACTTTTTCAGCTGATCCTGATCCACACTCGACGATCTATGGGAGGGAGGAGATACAATCCAGGGGAGATCATTACTTTATGTCATCGTGATGGTAATATTCGTAATAATTTTGGCAGCCTTTCCGGCTCATATCAGCCATCAGTCGATGGTGGTGGTGGCCGTAAATGTATAATCTTGGAGCCAGCCTTATCGTGGGGACACGCCTGGTGCCTAGCAGCAGCAGCAAGATAGTCCCCATAGATAACGATAGAATCAGGCGACTCGGGGGGCGGCGGGCGGAAGGCGGGAGACTACTTTCTTCGAGAGCTCCGATGACGAGGGGTAGATATGGGACGACCAAAACCCACGACTGGATGAATTATTGAACTCTTACGAAACTCTCACATAAAAAAATCTAATCGAAAAATTAATTTGCACAATGGACTCTCCGTTGTTGTTGTTGTTGTTGTTGCTGCCGCATTATCGGGTTGCATTATCGTGCAGATAAGAGTTCCTGTTCCCACCTTCTACTATTCTACTATTCTACGATTTTCGATTGGGTATAAAAGATGGAGAGCCACACGAATATCAATCATTCACTCACTCGAACGACATGGATGTAAGTCTGGGATTGATACGCATCCGCAAAGATTAGGATTCACATTACCAAAAATATTCTGTTTGTGATTGCAGTTCAACGCAATTCTCGAGAAGACCAAGGCCTTCAGCAAGAAGCCCCCAACGGAGGTTTACCTGGAGTTCTATGGCCTCTACAAGCAGATCCATGAGGGCGATATTGCCATCGAGAAGCCCGCCGATGCTGAGGGTGCTGCCAAGTACGATGCCTGGCTGAGCCGCAAGGGACTGTCCGTTGATGCCGCCAAGGCCGCCTACACTGCCCTGTACGAGAAATACGATCCCATCTACGGATAAGCTATAGCTAGACTCCCCCCTGTACCCCTTTACCACTGTCCCCCTGCCCCACGTCCCTGAGCAACAACTTTGTCTTTGATCCGGCAATAAATCTTGTTTAGCCAATAGTTTTTATTGGTTCTCTGAGATTAAGTATTTTTATAGCTGCCCCTTGCAGCAGTTGGGGCTGTTTTCCCGTCAAACGGTGGTATTATTATGGAGGTTCTGCCTTCGGTAGAGCTCTACACGCTCTGAATCCGACTCACGTCCATGGCCAGCTGTATCTGAACCTCTAAGCTCTCAAGATCGGTGGGTTCAGCGTTCATATCCCTCAGAACCCCGAGTAAAATGTCTGTGTTGTGTATTTGCTGGGTAATCAGCTCAACTATACGGTTCTGACTGATTATGTCCAGCTCCTCGTCTGGCAAGCCCCCCTGGCGCAGGACTCGTAGCTCGGTTTGGATGTTCTGGACATTCTCCTTGATGCCCATCAACAGCATTGTTCGTGGGTTCAGGCTATCCATTTGAGTTTCTGCCTATGTCTGTTCGATTGTGAGTCTGAGAGTAGATTGTGATTCTGATTCACGTTGAGTGTAGTAGATCAATGTCTACCCGGATCCGCTGTGTCAGGAATTCTAGCATAATCATTTGTAGGCAGGAGCTTTCTCTTCCACAGGTCAGGCATATAATGGATGAGAGATCCAAGTAGCAGGTGATTCCACAAAAGAGTCAAACCCTCGCACGGACACGTCTATATCTTTGCTCGTGCAGTCGCCCGATGCACGGGGATTGCTTGCCCTAAATTCTTATCGCGGCAATAGCTACGTGGCGCCATATATGCTCGTAAACCAGAAATAGTACCATCCAGCCTGCAAGCACCCCAAGCACCGCACGGCACGAGCTTCTAATCGGATTCAAGAGGCAGAAGGGGGGAAGAAAGTTCTCAAGAGGCAAGTTCCAAGAGTCAAAATTCTGACTCAGTTATGGACTTTATATAGTCATGAATGACTACTACTTGGGGGCGGGGCTAAAGTCGTGCCTTACTCATGGCATAGCCTGCCTCTAACAGACCACCAAAAGTCATACGATTTTGCCTCCACTCTAAGAAAGTGTTTACACGATCCTGGAATTGTAATGCTGCATAGCTCACCTTGATATTTCTCCCTTGCTTTTGCTCTTGGCCAGTCCCTCTTTGGCTTTCGATATGAGGCCGGACATGTCGCCGACAATGGCCGAGCGACTGCCAGGCTCCTGTGTGGGACTTGTGGGCAGGTTGCTCAGCTTCTGTGTCAGATCCTTGACCGTGTGATCGCGCTTCAGCTGCAGCTGCAGCAGTTGCTGCTTCCCCTCGCTGTCAATATCTGTGTATGGGTGGGGGGGAGGAGAACAAACATTTGTAATAATAATAATGAATTTATCCGCAGTTATTGGGCACACAGAAAAGTATGCAGCGGCGGCTGTGAAATGGAGTGATGGACATGTCTTGGCAGCGCTCGAGAGTAGGCAACACTCTCCTCGGAGAGCACACGGCACCCACCTGTTGGGGTATCCACAGCGGGGTTAGTACTGGTTAGGGTTCTGGCTGGAATGCTGCCAATGGGGGCATGCCACCAGCCGGGTGGCGGTGGCGGCGGTGGCGGAGGCGGTGGTGGCGCCACCATTGCAATGGGTTTCCGTATGGGACTCAGCGGCTCTGTTTCTGGCAGTATGTCGCCCTTGACCGGCGTGGAGCTAAGCGGAACGGCCGTAAAATCAAAGCCTGAGGCATTCAGCGGCTTCTTGGGACTCAGCAGGACATCCTCGGGATCCTGTTGCTGCTGCTGCTGCTGCTGCTGCTGATGCTTGGGCGATTGACTCATCTGCGTGTAGTAGTTGTTCAGGCGATTGGCATCGTTCTCGTACTTCTTGTAGCCACTGTCCGTCTGCTGGATGTTCTTCATGATCCCGTTGATCACCGTGGCGTTCCGTTCGCGGAACAGATTCTTTTTCGTGAGGAACTCGTTCTGGTTATTGGTGTTATTGTTGTTGGCCTTGTCGAAGCTGTTGTTGATGATCGAGATGCTGTGGCTGCCGCTCAGCAGCTGTTTGCTGGGACTCAGCAGCAGGCTGTTGTTGGGCGTATCATTGTTGCTGTTGCAGTTGCTGTTGCTGTTGCTGCTGCTGATATTATTGTTGCATGGCTGCGGCTGAGGCTGCAGCTGAGGCTGCGGCAGCTCGTGTTGCAATGACTGCGGCGGACTGTCGCCGCTTTGTATGGTGGCAGGAATGGCTGTTACGATTTGGCCTTTTGGTTTTTGTGGCGGTTAGCATTTATGATCAGCGGGTGAGGCAACAGCGGGACAAACACGGATACACACACGGATAGATGGAGTGATTAGCATTGGTTGTGGGGGAGAGAGAATCAAAAGTTAGTAAGCAGCCTGTACAGAGAAGCCTTTGCGTTATCCTGGTGCAACTTTGCGTGGCACGCACTCACCCAGACCCTCGCGCTGCTCCAGTGCGGCAAATATGCCATTGGCCGCTGCCTCCTGCTGCTCCTTGAGGAAGCTCTTGTGCCGCTCCGCTCGCTCGCGACGACGCCTCAAACCGGGCGTGACGCCCGCACCGTCGCGTGCTAAACGAAAACCGAAAGGATATTAGTGCTCTGATTGCCAAAGGGACATCCTGATTGGTTGCTTACGCTTCTTCTCGTTGAACAGGCCGCCACTGAACTCCGTGGAGTTGGTGGAGCCCGAACTGTCCTCGTCCAGGGTGCCCTGGGTGGGCGTCATACGCAGCATTGTGGTGGGCAGGACCTTGGTGATGGGCGCCGGACTGTTGTCGGTGCTGTGGCGACGCGACTTACGCCGCTCCGTGGTGTTCGTGCCCGGCCGATAGCGCTGCGTCTTGCGCATGGAGTTCTGCGGCAGCCGCTGCCCGTCCGATTCACCATCTTCGAATCTGTTACAGAGGGAGCATTAGTTCTGTGGCTAAAATACTTTGGATAGAGCCTGAGCACACCCACTTGAGCACAGCCTCATAGAGTTGCAGCTGATCGAGCAGATCCAGATCAGTGCCCGGCTTGGACATGTAGCGCCGAATGACCGTCTCCATGCCCTGCTGCTCCAGCAGGTCGCTCTCGTCGTAGAACGTGTCCTGATCGTTGAGGCCCGCGAGGGTTTTGTTGATCAGCGATGTGGCATAGATCACCAGTTCGGCATCCGCATTGTCATAGTCCTTGAGCAGTCTGTAGAAATGAGAACATAATGAATGTGAATGTAGTTCCATCTCTAATGTGGATATGCTGCCCAAAAGTATACCTCATTATGTTGGACCATGGCAGCGTTCCCTGTGTGGCATCCACCGCGTGTATGGCACTGACCAGCACATAGCAATTGGACTCGGCATATTCGACAAAGACCAGCAACAGCTTGAGTGCCGTCTTCACCACGGATCGGTAATTGGAGGCAATCAATGAGTATAGCCATTGCATTGTCGGCTCATGCTTCATCACGCCGTTCATTCCATCCACATAGAGCATGACCTAAAGCAACAGCAAACATGACATAATTATCCCTAGATTGGCTCTCGAGATCTTTGGGATCTGCTTACCTGTCCGAGGGCACGCAGTATATAATTCTGATAGTTTTGATTTGCACAATTGCCCACGCGCACCAGACAATTGAGGCCGCCGAGGGCCACAAAGGCATGCACCAGATCCTTATCCTCCTGGAACACCTGCTTCAATGAGAACAGCGCACGTCGCAGGTCGCTGCCCTCCGATGAGAGTAGTTTTTCTGCCAGAAAAAAGTTTTCCCATTATAGAATAAGAATGTGTTTTTTCTGTTTAAATTGTTTTGGTCACTTACCAATAATCGAATGCACGCGTACGTTCAGTTGGGTGCGTACCACCAGCGAGTTCTTGCGACTGTTCAGTTCAAAATATATAAAATATAAAATAAAGAAATTAATTCAATTTAATTGAATTGAATTGAATTGCACAGAAACATTTGTTTGTCATGGCACACTCTGGGGCTCCCCATTCGAATGGCAGGGGGGTTCATTGACCAGCCAAAAAGAGCATTGATTACCCGCTGTTTTGCTGCTTGCTGCTTGCCCTTCCCTGTGCCCTGTTCTGCTGTGATCTGTTCTTCTGGTGGTCATAATACTCGTAAAAATAATAACCAACGACGCAGATAATTGAAAATGGACTATGAGGAACACACACACTGGGAGTCGGACTTGGAATCGGAATACAGGCAAGAATTCATAATAATAATAAAGGTTTTCAGCACCACACATGTCTCTGTCTCTGCCTCTGCCTCTGCCTCTACCTCTGGGTGCCTCTCTCTCTCTCTCTCTCTCTGTCTTTCTGCAGACTTCTCTGCGGAATTTTGATGCGGCACATGAGGCGCATGATTTGCATGCAAGCGCGCTGCCATGACTAATGCGATAAGCATGATTAGTGGCCCAAAGGACGGGCCCCAGACCACTCTCATTGGCGCCAATCGCCGACTCGTAAATGGGTGCCCCCTTCAAACGCTGCAAAGTGGCTGCAATTTGCGCAGACGCGGCGACATTTACGTTATAATTTGCAAAGCATCAATGCCAGGATGCTAGGAGCCAGGAGCCAGGCCACCTCCTCCTTCCCGGCTTATGACTGATGGATGCGATGGATGGGATGGGATGGATGAAGTGAAAGTCAGAAATAGACTGGCAGTTATCCAGGTGCCAGTGCCAGTGCCCAGAGAGGTTAAGCAACTTCAGAACATTGACTTTGAACCACACTGCTTGCCCCTGGTACGGTTATGACTTTAAGCCTTCCTTCTTTTGAGCCGCCTCTTCTTTAAGCCATCTTTTTGTGTTTTACTGTGTTGTGTTCTTCTACTTTGACACTTGTGCCCCATCGCGTACATCATTTTTCTTTTGTCTGTCTGTCTGTCTGTCTTGGCGGACAGCTCTGCTTTAGCGCCTGCCCTGCTGTTGCTGCTGTTGCTGCTGCTGCTGATGCCTTTTTGTCATGACATCACGTTCCACACGGGGCTCTGGCTTTGGCTCTGCTCTGGCCGCGAAATAAATAAATAAAGCAGCAACAAAACAACTATCAAAAGTATCACAAGATGAACGACTGGCGAGTACCTCTAAAGGCAGCAGCCACCCGACCGCTAGTCAGCTTCAAACGGATGAGATATTCCACGTTCTTTTCATAGATCCCCACACTGGTCTGTTCTCTCCAGTCGATCACATCCTTTCCACTGCCACCTCGAGGGGTATTTGTTGAGAAATGTACTTTATATGCAATGCCAGTTATGAGAAAAAGCGCTCAAAACTCTGACAAACAAAAAAATATATACACATATAACGACTGGAGGAGGCAGAGGTTCAACAACAGCAACGACATCAAAATGTGGCAGTACCCATACCCTTGGCTGTACGTTGTGTTGTTTGTGCGCGGATTAAATGCAAATTAACTGCAAGAGTTGCAAGAGACAGTCGCAGCACCAGCAGCAGCAGCAGCAGCAACAAGTTGCACGTAGCAATGTCGTGGCATGCAAATGTCTGGAGCACAGTCAGAGAGTCCGTTTCCTGTGTGTGCCTGCCTGCCCGCCTGCCTGCCACACAGATACGAGTATGTATGTATGTATTTGCGAGAGACAGTCAAATAACTTTATTAGCAAATCCCCCCCTGAGATGGGAGTCAGATATGGTCAAGGAGTAGGCGATCCGACCGCCATGGCGTATGTGTAATATGTGGCATTTCGGTGAAAGGCTGACAGACAGATAGGGAGAGAGAGAGAGAGAGACAGAGAAAGAGAGCCACCCACGATCTGGTGCCCCAGTAACCCAAAGGAGGACACAGGGGACAGCGTGAAGACTGGTTCAACATTTCCCAAAGCTGCTCAGACTTTCCCGAAAATGAGCAGGGGAAAATGGGTTCAAGGTAAGCAGCAGCAGCAGCAAAAGTGAAAATTCTCTGACAAATTTTTGTGTTTGCCCGAGTGGTGGGTGGCAGCGTCAGGCTGTGTGGCTGGGCTGCCTTGATTGCGCCAGGTGTCCACTGACTCTGCCACCAACATGTGGGTTGACAATTCGTTAGTGTCCACCGATCATCCCACACACAAACACACACACAGGAGGAAGAGGGAGATAATTGTGTGTGTGTTTTGTTCTCCATTCACTGCACTCACCTCGCGTTCAGGCCCTCGATCTCCTCGGTCTGTTCGGCCAGCGATGATTCCAGGTCCAAATAGGCACCATAGTCCCCATCCTTGTACACCTGAATGGCTGCATCATCGATCTGCAATGAGAGTAGAAAAGAGAAGGAGACAGATGCTTAGTTTCGCCGGCAATTATAATTAAAGTCTGGCTAAAAGTAAATGGCAGCATCAGCAGCAGCAGCAGCAGGCACTGCACTACCGCACTACGCAGTAAAAGTTGTTTATGGTTTCGGTTTTTGAGTAAAAAGAGAAAGAAGCTGCGGGATGGTGGATGGTGGACGGTGGATGCTGCATGGCAGATGGGGGCTACACTTGGAAGCTGCTGATGGAGAGGTTGATGTGCTGCTGCTGCTGCACCATAGAACGTTTTGTTGCATTGAAAGTCTGCAGTCGATTTCGTTTAGGCCAACATTGAGGCCGACATCGGGCAACAGCAGCAGCCAAAGTCGGAGTCCAAGACCAAGTTGATGGCTGGCCAAGAGATGACGCGTCGACTGGCTGGCTGGCTGGCTGTGGCTGGTCGGTCACCTACTTTTCTCTGCTTTCAGTTTTCTTTCAAGCCGCTGATTGCCTTGGCTGCCTGATTGATCAAGCTCCTGCTGCGTGCACAAATGCGCTCGCTGATTGACGGCGGACAGACCAACTCTTCTTGTGTCTCGTTGTGTTTATTGGCGCATTGAAAGTAATTATTTCTGCATTTACAGAACAATTACCGGGTACAACATGCTATTATATCTGTGTCGATGCTTAATGCTTAATGTGTGAAAACAGCAGCAGCAGCATCTGAGAATATTGCCCGTCATCCGGGTGGAAGATTACACAGACGAGACAAGTCTTTCCATCTTTGGGCTGCACCCAGCATTAGCTGGAAGTTAAGGTTTGGGTTTGGGTTTGGTTCTGGGTTCATTCTCTTGTGACTTTCTTTCGACCCTTTACAGCGAGGAGACATGAGTTCTATGATGTCAATTTCCTGTACTAATTTCCCATTTTTAATCACACGAACAGAGATCATTCCTTTTTAAAGACTTATTCAATGACTTTTGGGAAAATTTTTTAGTTTTCTTATGAATTTACGCATTTAAATCTAATACTGCATTTCATAGAACCCTATCAGCCTAGTCTATAAATATGAGAATTTTACCTTAACGCAAATGAGTCTTTTCCTAGTTAAATGACTCGTCAGCACTTGATAGGTTTTGTTTACCCAAAAAGTCAGTGCGTCGTGCCATGCCATGCAGTCTCGTACGAATCACGTTTTCTTATCAAACAAACAAAAAGAGAAGAAGAGCGGACCCACTCTCGAAGCCTCTTGAGCAAATTTTCTACTGACTTCTACTGGCTGAGGCATTCAACAAAAACTTTCTAGAGCAACGTTTTGGGTCGTCGTCTATCATTCATTCCGTCATTGATCGTTGTTTGCCCTAAAGGAGGCAGAGGAGCAGAGACAACATTCAAATTATGTGTCAAATGCGTGCTTTAGTCTACTATATAAACACAGCCGATCTTTATATAAGTGATCTGTCGGGGCGGGCAATTAAAATCAAAGCAAATATTGGCCTCCAGCTTTCTGCTTCCAAATACAAGCAAAAAACTATAGCTTGGAAACGTTTTTATGATTTATTTATGTTCCGTCTTTCATATTCGTTTGTTCATTCGTTCATTCATTCATTCCGTTTCGCTCATTCACAGCTCTATGCAAATTTTTATATCGGTCGCCTTTTTGGCTTTGATTTTTTATTTTGAGTGAAGCATGACAAGATTTTTAATCAAAATGATTTTTGGCCAAACAAAAAACACACACATAAATGTGGCCATTGACACACTTAAGGGGGGAGCGCGCGCGAGCATAAAAATCAACGAGGAGAAAATATATTGTAAAAAAAAAACGTGGGGTAAAATAAACTATAAAATCAACAAAACGATAGATCCAATATGTTTAGGAAAATAAATAAATATTTTTTATATTATTGACAGCCCTGTAAATTCGTCGTTGACGACTTTTTTTTGGCGAGATAACAAATTGGATATTCATTTTGATTAATTATAATTGAATTATTTTTTGTAGAAAAAAAGAGACATATACAATAATAAAAAGTAATTTGTTGGCTATAATGAAGAGATGACATATGGATCTGCTTCTCTTTTTTCAGGACAGACTAATGATGGGATTTATGTATGAAAATATTCATTATATGGGATTATATTTGTTAGAGCTATTAAATACGGATGAATATGTGACTAATTTGGTAAATTGGATAGAAATATAGGCCTAATATTTTGTACATAGTTGATTCTTTTTTAGCTTAAAAAATAATCTACTTTAAAGGTTATATTATAATGAACGCTACATTAAAGTTAAGTTTTAAAATTATTTTAAAGCTCAACTAAAAAATAGCTCTCGAATTGGAAATAAGAAGCAACTTCCAACTCTGTATTATAAGCCTAACGAGCTAAAAAAAAATTGACTTTAAAACCCAGTTAGAAAAGCTCCGTTCCGCATTTTAGGAGTTAGAACAAGGATGACCATAGAATAAAAATCATTGTCAAACTCTAATAAAATCCACCAAAACGATTTCTTCCTTCACCAGTCTCTACTTTTCACAAACAAATTGGGATCAAAGGTCAGCCCACTCACAATCTAAATAAAACCCAACAAAGAGCGTTAAATTGTTAACCTTGTCGTCGGTTTCAGTGACTAATACACTTTTGCTTTCACATCAATCAGGGTTGATTGACCCACAGGTTGACTGCAAAATCTGATGGATGACTCCAGTGCTAATTGAATTCAAAAACCAAGCATAACTTCAAAGGGAAAATATATGTATACAGAAGAAATCGCTGTGCAAATTTGTAAGGCAAATAACCAGAAGAGAGAAGTGTCTCCGCGTGGTTCAAATATTTGACCAACAATTAAATCGCAAAAAGATAATGGAAAAGTTTCGCCCCGGGTCAAGCCCTCTACAAGTCAATGATTTTGATTGACTTTGAATGCAGCTACAACAAATAGTACCGAGTGTATTTCAATCCGTGTGAATGACACATGTAAATGACGCAATGCTCTCAATATAACGGATTAATTTATTTATTTACTATAAATAATTTAATTGGTTTTTTTTTTTATTTTAATGAGCTTTTGCCTTTGGCTTTGCCTTCTTTGAACGTTTTTTTTTTTCAATGAATTGTTTGACTTTTTTTGTAGTTTAATTGTGGCTATAGTCTTTGTTGTCTTTTTTGTTGCTGGGTTTCCATTTCCATTGGCCATTCAATTGAACACGCGTACTCCCTATATGCTTATCTCTAATTCTGTTCTGTTCTGTTCTGAATGACGCGAAGAAACAGTCAACCGAGAAATAATTGGCAGTAAGAATAACAAAATAAATTCAAATCAAAACATTAGCAAATATCATTAAATGTAGTCGAATGGGTAGATACTGCCTATAAAGGTTCTGGCAAAAATATATAAAATATTTTTGGCAGTTTTCTTTATTTACTCAGACATAATTTCTTGACGTTTTAAGGTTTTCTCCAGCATAGAGCTTTTCCTTTTCCCTAACACCTCTGTCTCCTGCTGTTCCGTTCCCCTCTTTCTGCTGTTTTCGTGTTTGAAGAATCTTAAAAATATATATACAAACAGATATACCCTATTATACCCTATACCCTCCACAGTATTGAGTATCATATCGTTTCATTGGCCAGCCACAACGACTACTACTCGCATGATTATTTATATTTTTAACTTTTGTGGGTTCTCGAATCTGTCCGCACTGTCCCGCGCCACTGATGTCATCGCTGGAGATTAGGCGATCGGTGGGGCGAAAATTTATGAATCTATTGTAATGCGCTAAATTTAACAAGTTGCATGCATGGTGGAACTGCCGATAGGAGGAGTAGAAGCAGTCAGCAGCAGTCGGCAGGCCGGCAGCAAAGCTCTCCGTTTGCTGACTAATTGGACAAATGGCATTTACAGCTGCCGCCGCGACTGCTGATGCCGATTTGGATGCCGAAGCCTGCCACATAAATCTGCCTCCGACAACATCCTGAGCACACTGGATATAGAAGCTGGAAGCCAGAACACTTCCTTTTGCGATTTGCTCATTAGAATTTATTGCCGCCGCTTGTCAAGATTTACGTATCCTTGCGGCCTGCTCTGCTCTGCTCTGCCCCACTCTGGATGACAGATGACAGGCAGTGGCTGGTGGCTGGTGGCTGGTGGTGGTGCCTCTACGAATGGGGAGGCTGGCTGTTCGATGCTCCTTAGTGGCTTTTTTGCAAATTAGTCAAAGTCAGGCAGGCAGCAGGCAGCGCGATGCCACTCGTTGCAGGGGCAAACAATGGCAGGCTTAGATAATTGCTGGCCATGGCTTTCACAATGCGCCCAGAAAAGAGAGCCGGCCCCGACTGTGCTCCGACTGTGGCTCTGGCTCTTGGCTCTTGGCTCTCGTCTCTCGGCTCTGGGGTCTGTGGTCTGGGGTTTTCTGCCTGCTGCCCCAACTTCCTATTAGTTGCCACAGATTGTGCGATAGCAATAAGTTAGCCCAGCCCGGGGCTGGCTCAGAGCCGGGCTTGCTCTTCCCCGCCCGCCAGTGGATCTGTGGAGCCAATCCCTCGCCATTGCCATCTGCCATTGTCTTCTGGCCGGGATCGCTGAATCGTCTAGCTCAGTGGAAAGGGTCGGTCATTGGCATGCCCGTCCATTGGCAATGCATCATTTGTTCGGTTCGGGAATAAAATATTGTAATAAGTACGGGTTTAGAACATGCTAAAACACTTTACTTCCTTGTCTCTGTTGTATCTATCCCTATCTATCTCTCTCTCTCTCTCTCTCACTCCCTCTCTCGCTCTCTCTTTTTTCCAGAACTAAACCTTTTGTTTGTTTTATTTGTGTTCTTGGTTGATAAGTTTTTCTTCTGTTATTTACCAATTACCATTTTAGCAGATTTTCCATTTGTTTTTTGTTTTTGTTGGTTTTGTGGTTCTTTCCATTTCAACGCTCTTTCCTCTTTTCTGATTTTCCACAAATAAAACTTATTCCGCTTCAATTGACTCTCACATCTCTCCCTCTCCCTTTCTACCATTTTGAACATTTTTTTTAGATTTGTGGCTAGAGTTTTTTTTCTGTACTTTTCCCTCTTTTCTATCGAATCAATTTGGTTCTGGCCAAGTTTAATCTTTGGCTTTCATGTGGAAATTTCACAAAATAAATCAATTGTAGATTTTGTTTAGTTTTTTTGTGGAGGAACATAATCGTTCCATTGCGGACGATAAACGAGTTATAATGCTTTTTATGCGAAATGTGGTGGCGATATAGAGCGATAAATGCGTCTAAACACGCTATGCAAATGACTCTCGGTCTCGGTTTGGGGTACCGGGTACCGGCTGCCGGGTGCCGTGCCGCCACACACAAAAAGCCCAACTCGAAATATCCATACAAAAATGTATATGCCATCAGTTCAGAGACAGTGCGTTTGAAAGGTTTTTGACTTTAGATAGACTCTGGATATTCGTTTGGTCCAGTCCAAGTCCCAAGCCTTTCCTAAGGATTTTCTTAGCCAGACAGCAGCTGCTGTCTTGTTTCGTTAGTACTTGGGTTCTCAGCGAAAGGAGTGGCAAGAAGGAGAATGCAATTCAATTAAATAAGAATGACACTCGCAGCCACAACAACAACAACAGTTGGCAGGAAAGGAGCAGAGAGCTATGCTTGGGAGAGGCAGAGAGAAAGAGCGCTTGAGGACGAGAGGTAAAAGTGAAAAAAAAAATGTACAAGGGGTGGGGGAGGAGGGAGAACATTCGATCACTCCTGATAGATGCAAAAACAGCCAAAAGCTAATAAATTATATTAATATACATACGTACATATTTAAAAAAAATTTTGGTTGTAAATTGTTCATAAATTAAATGGGAAAATAAAACTGTTTTATGGATTAAACAACATTTGCAACTATTACTTTTAATGCGCTAACTTTTATTCCCTCTCCTGTCCACAAACTTATGGCTTCAACTGTGGACCACTATCAGCAAAATCAGCAAAAACCAGCATCATCGCAGGCATCAAAGCGCTAGCTTTGCGTGTGCAAAAACTGTTTTCATCATGGTATAAAAATAAATATTAAATTTGGGAAAGAAGAATAAAAAAACCTTCAAAAAAACTATGAAGAATACTAACAAAAAAAATAGCCAACGATCTCGATAATGCCTATACATACTTCTTAATGTATACGGAAAGTATCTCGTAAATGCGACGTTAAAAGAGTTAATGCCTTTTCATATACAAAAGATTTTTGTACGAGTAGCCTGTTTTTTTTCGGCTAAAAGATTCAGACTTTGCGATAAGGCTGAAGGCTGATAAGCTAAAGCCAGTTATAAATACGGATAATATGTATTTATATAAAAGAAATAAGGAAAGAAAGATGCATTGTCTTATTGCTTACACTTTGTGGGGCATTCAACAGCCTGAGAATGGTGCCGATCTGCGTGGCCAGTGGCATGGTTGTGGCAAACGCATACGTGGGGGCACGCACCGGTATGGGGAAGGCGGTGCAGGCCGATAGCGGATCACTATCCACCAGATACTGGACACGAAAGGTGATTAGTTCGTCGGGCTCCATTTTCACAATCATTTTGGCGAATTTATTTACATTCGTCTCTCGAGATCGCACTTCCACTTCCACGTTTTTCACATTTGTCTTTTGATTTTCTTTTATTTGATTTATTTACTTTTCTGGTATTTTCTCTCACTTTTATTTATTTGCATTTTCACTTGAACTGGAACTGGAACTGAAATGGATTTTTGGATTGGCATAAATTTGTTTGCTTTTCGCTGGCTTGCAATTTGTTTTAATTTTGATTTTTATGACGTGCACTCTCTGGGCCAAGCCCCGAAACGAATTTAAATCACACAAAAACACACAAGACACAGGGACAGAGTTTCAGGGGGAGATCTATCGAAACAATGGATACCCTGTGAAATTTATCTTATCTATGATAAATAACAGAGATTTTTTTTTGAAATTTTTAATCTAGATAATTCCTATGGAATATTGTGATCCTACCCTTCATGCAGCATACAGAACGGTCTTAACGGTCGTTAATCTTATTAAAATCGTCATACCCCTTGCCAGAGGTATACCAAATTGTTGCATAATTGTTTGGCAGTTGGTGTCTTTTGGTCTTTTGGCTGAGGAAACGGCAACACACGCATGTTGCGCAATTTTATGCTAAATATTGCAAAATTGTTCAAAAGCCACGCCCACTATACAGTAACACTCCACAGTATTGTAGTCACATTCACATTCAGCCCCACTCCCCCCCGCCCGTAGCATAATTGATATGCCGAACCGGATCGCTCTCCTTTCTTTCTTTTATTTTGCTTTTATTTTCTTCTCTTTTTGTATTTGTTTAAATATTTGTCTTTGGATTTCTGGTTCAGTAATGATCATGATCATGCGATGATGATGATGATTGTTGTGTAACTTTTTCGAATTCAATGTCAGTACCCGCCCCAGTAGTGGTTTGGTTTTTAATCATCATCATCATCAGGCATTCAGGGGACATTGCCTCAAATCGAAACCAAATCGACGGGCCTCAAAGAAGGTAACGTCTCCGCTGTGGGAGTACCGCTAAATGTCTTGTCTGCTGTTTTTCTGGGTTTTATGCAAATATGCAAGACACAGTGAGTACGAGCACTACTACACTCAGCACAGAGCTTGGTTTCTGTCTGTCTGTACGTCTGGTCTTTCTGTCTGTGGTTTACGGGCCAGCGCCGAGGGTCTTCTGTTCGTCAGTTCGTCTGTTAACGAGGTTCTTAAGTGTCGTCTTGTAGCGGTCGGTCCCAGTAGCCGTCTACGGTAGCTCCCTCCACATAACGTGACTCTAATGGACGCCCGTTGGCTGCCGCAGTTTGGTCTCTGTCTCGTCTTCAAAATTGGACTTGGACTTGAAGTTGGACTCTGCTCAAACACACACTTGTCTGTCGCTGCTCACTGCTCACTGCAGACGACTGACATTGAACTCTAGTCTCGAGTCTGGAGGTGGTCCGAACGATGGTTAGGAAATGGGTGAGGCCACCAAGTGCGCGACAAATGTTATGAGAGATCGCATAGTATTTTGTTCGTATTATGTATTATTTTGGAAAGTATTTCAGATATATTGGTTGCCTTTTCATTCAGATATTCAGGTTCAATTAATTAGTAACTCTAGAAATACTAAAATACTAAAGCAGAGAAGGCTATACAAAATGTTTTACGACTAAAATTATCTTTTGCTTGACTTAAATGTGAGAACCCTGCGTTACAAAGACAAACAGCCCCCGAGTACCCATCGAGTATTAGCTTTCTTCATCATGTATTTCCTCAAATCAATTAGGTGGAGAACAACCTTTCAAACCATTATTCATTCTACAGATTCTCGAGGAGGGGAGGGGGAGGGGCCTGGGCTTGGCCACCAATTTGGTAATTTGTCCAAGACGTTGCACAAACACGCTGCACGTTCGTACTACTGTTAAATACTCGCGTACGTACAACATGTAATTATTTTGTATTTTAGCCACTAACTCAAAGCATTTTTCACAGATGCGATGGCCAATACGATGGCAATAACGGTAGCGGCGGCGGCGGCTTTTAAAAAACCACAAAAAAATACAGAAAACATCGCGCCTAATTGCAATAATTCATTGCGAAGCAGCGAATGCGAAATAAACACAGGGAAACACAGCACACAAAAATAAAGGCGAAAGCCATAAAAAAGGCCAATAAAAACGGTTAACAAAAGACAAAAAAACACAAAAGCCAAGCCAAGAATATTGTGTAAACGTAAACAGCTGTTCAACAGAGACTCCCGCGAGCCGAGACGATAGCCGTTGAGAGGGGTTTCGTTCTGTTGAACGAACGAAATGAGAAATAAAATAAAAGTCAAGTCATTAAGAGCGGACCTGGGAGTCCGGCACTGAGGTCTAAAGGGTGGGGCAAGACTTGAGGGCACAGAAAGGAAGTTATCACAGGGGGCGGGGGACAGCAGAGAAATAAAAAAATATAAAAAAGAGTCAAAAGAGTTAAAGTTTAATTGAAAGACTGGAGAATGCGTTGGCAGAGGGCAGGCGAGGCTTCGAGAGAGACAGGTTACAGCCGGATGGAATGGACCCTTGCCGGGGCTTCCTTCTGACAGCCAGGCGGCAAGGCAAGGCAGGTGTGCCCCAAAACACACACAGCAAAGAACCACGCCAAAAAAAAAAAAGAAACAGCACGAAAGACAGGGTAAGGGATTCGAAGCTTTAGATACCCTTGAAGAGCGTTTTTGCCTGGGGCAGGTAGGAGAGACACTTGGAGACGTTTCGAATGAGTAGCCTTATAGGCCGCCAATCGCAAGGGTACCCACCAGCAACTGCAACCACCAGAGAGCCGGACACCAGGACACCAGCATGACATCAGCAGCCGAGAAACCAAACCGAAACAACAAGTTCTGTTGCATGCGAAAGTCAATGTTGCAAGAGTCTCGTCGATTCGCCGGCTGCTTTTGGTTTCGTTTATGAAATGGAAAATGAAGTTGAAGCCCGAATAAAGATTTTTACTTTCACGTATACCGAAATTCCTACCGACACTGGCCGGAACTCTCTTTTGGGCCCAACGCCAGCACACAAAAAAGGGTTTCGGCCAAGTCAAAAGTTAAGTGTCCATCAGCGAAAATCACTATCGTCTATGGGGCTTCCTCATTGCCTGCCGATCGGTGTTCGGCGTTCGGCGATCGCCGTTTGGGGGACGTGCAGAAATTTAATGAAATTAAATAAATACGAGTATTATGTTGTACAGCAGAAATAAACGCCTGCCAGCCAAAAAGCATTGTGGCCATTGTGGGCAAGAGTGTCGGCTGTTAGCCATGGCTAAGCAGCGGCATATTTAGTTACAAATTACGACAATGGCGCCGAAGCGACGACGACTGATGGACAGACCATATTAAAGTGTAAATAATTTATGCAAATCCCGCAACAGCAGCCGCCAGTCTGTGGGGCACCCACAACAACTACAGTAACAACAGCCACGGTACAGTAACAACTGGCAGGTAATGAAACCCGCCCGCTGGCTCAAGGAAACTCTTTTTTTTTAGCTTTTTAGAGCCACGCTGCTGCTGTTGCTGCTTCTCTCTTTTTCGCCTTGACTTGGCTTAAATGAACTTTCACTTTTTACTGCTGCCTGGCTGCCTGCTTGCCTGCCTGCCTGCCTGCCCCATGTTGCAATCACTGACGTTGGAGGAGTCAGGCAACGTCTCTTCCTGCTGCCGCTTCTTCTTCTGCAGTTTTTTATGCCATCAATTATGCAAATTTTCCATAACCCCCCATGGGATGGCTAATAACTTAACAATTTCCCAAAGACGCTTAATTGACAGCTACTGTGCGGCTGCTGCTGATGTTGCATGCCCCCACGGGCGCACCCCCCCCTCTGCTGAGGCACTACTCTGATTCCCACTCTGTGATCCGCTTGGGAGTACGCTTTGATGATCCGCATCGGAGCATTGACATTGATACAGTTAAGGGGGATCTGCCAGAGGGTCTTCCTCCCCAATCGAATTTATGCACACAGGAAGTTTGTTTAAGAGCAGCTGATAGAAGGAATTCTTCAGAAGAAATGCGGGGATACGATATTAAACTTAGACTTCAGATATCAGTATTTTTATGAAGAATTTCGAAATTTTTGGGCATTGATTTTCATAGCTAATATTGTTTATCCGTTTGATTCTTTCTGAGATTGAATCTTCATTAGAAACTTTATTCTAGGAAAGCTTTTAAATTGTATAAAATTTATTTCTTTGCTCGTATAATCACCTGATCGCACGAACAGACAACTATTTCTGTTCCATCACGATACGAGTATTCTATACCCTAAGAGCCCACACACACGTGACATTTGTGATCGAACTTCAAGTTCAATCAGGACATCATTCAATAAATTCAATTAAATTTACTTGTACTTCACACATTTTCCCCTTCCACACCACCCACTTATCTGCCCCTTAGCCATCGCCAAACATTGTAAAAGATACGGCGATACTTATCGCTGACTTAATAAAGAAATAAACCCAGATACAGATACATTCGTTGGTTCAATGAGTTCGCAGAATGCGCAAAAAATGCCACATTCGGTTGTGGGGCGGAGGAGGAGGTAGGAGGTAGGTCTATGCTTCGCTGAACAGCAAATATTTGGCCATACAAAAACAGAAACAGATATTTTAATGGAAACAGAACCCATGAAAGAAATGGAAAAAAACAAACACACTACTCGTACATTCCACAATAATTTGTCATGCTCTCTCGGTGGAGAGAACGATCTCAAAGAGAGAAGAAAATGGAAGCAAACAAATCATTTTTGAGCTGGGATTGAAAAGGTAGAAGAAAAATGGTACTGCCAGCAATCGGAAGAAAAGTTGTTTGACCTCTTGACTGACTGACTGACTGAATGAAAGACATATAAAATTGTTAAGCGAATGCATTTAAAAATAATTTCAACTGCCAATAAAAAAAAAAAACAACAGCCAACCAGCAAAGAAACACCGATGATTGGCCTGGCTCGTAGCCCGTAATGAAGGGCCCGAGTCCGGGCCCTCTCTTGAAACGAGTTTGAAAGAAAATTGTGTCACGTTTGTGTGTTGTGTTTTGAAACGGTTAAATGTTTGAGGGAAAACACATCGCATGCCACTCGAGATCAGAGGCAGGCAGCATTAACAGCAA